AGGCGACTTTAATGCACCACAGATAAACTGGGTTAACTTAGAATTAGGGTCATCGATATCGTCGTTCGAATGCAAACTGTTAGAAACCTCATTTAGATTAGCATTATTCCAACACATTAGAGATCCCACAAGATACGACTTAAGAAACTCTTCCTCTCTTTTAGATTTAGTCTTCACACACGGTGAGGACGTTGGTCAAACGGCTTTTCTCCCACCACTTGGGAGAATCGACCATGCAGTCATCTTATTCAAATTCATGGCTGAAATTGCCTGTCAAACAGCTGCGCCGGCCCATCCTAACATATGGAAGGTAGAGATGCAGGCAATTAGCTCCACAGCATCGGCTGAAAATGGGGAAATCGACTCAAAAGCATCAGTACAAGGGGCATGGACTCTATTCAGGCAGTTATACAATCGGGTAACTCAACCATACATACCCTGGACTGTCCCAAAGTAAAAGAAGCACGGACATCCCTGGATATGCGGGATATTCGACGTTTACTAAGACAAAAGAAGAAATGCTGGGATGTTGCCATCCGCCTTGGCACAGCAGGTATGATGGAAAGCTACAGATCGGTAAGAAACAAGTGTATAGCAAAAATTCGAGTTCAGAGAAAATATGAAATGCAGCTGGCACAATCTGCACTCAAGCAGCCCAAGAGAATATTCTCGCACATAAACTACAGAACAAGGATGCATCATTGGATTCCCAACCTAATTAAAGAAGGGAGTGAATCTGAAATGATAGGGGAAAATCAGGAAAAAGCAGAGGCTATGGCTGACTATTTTGGAGCAGTTTTCACTCATGGACCTCCTCTAGACAAAAAACCAGACCAAAATAAAGAGTCAACAAACCATCTATTCACCGTGGACTTCGGTCAAGACGATGTGTTCAAGGCTCTTAGCACCTTAAACATGGAAACGTCAGCAGGACCAGATGAACTACACCCCAAAATCTTGAGACATATTGCACAATATATCGCGGCCCCACTGTCTGTGATATCCAATATGTCACTTGATCAAGGTGTGTTACATATGGACTGGAAGGACGCAATCGTCACTCTCATACATAAAACAGGACCAAGACAACTTCCACCGAACTACAGACCTGTAAGCCTCACCAGTGTTGTAGTTAAAATATTGGAAGGAATAGTCAAACGAACCATAATGGCAATTATGGAAACCAATGACTTGCTAAACATAGAACAACATGGTTTTATAAAGGGTCTATCTTGTACAACAGGCCTCCTTATAGCAAGGTAGTTTTGAATAAAGGTGTTAGACAACGGAAACTCAGGGAACGTTGTCTACATAGACTTCAGTAAGACTTTTGACAAAGTGCCAACCAATAGACTGCTGTTGACAAGGGAAAACCTTGGTATTGCCAAACGTCATTTAAAATGGATTAAAGACTTCCTAGTAGGTCGTAGACAGAAAGTAAGAATAAATTCCAAGTGCTCCATCTGGAGACAAGTACTTAATGGAGTACCTCAAGGTCCTAGGTCCCTTACTTTTTATAATGTATGTTAATGATCCTCCAAGTATAGTACAGTCTCCAACGTTATTATAAGCTGACGATGTAAAGATCTGGCAAGTAATAACTGGAGGCACAGACGCTCTTCCGGCAGACTTTAATAATATGATTAACTGGTCTTAAGAGTGGCTGATGCCTAACAACTCGGCAATGTGTTTCTACATGCACTTTGGGGATTCAAACGTTACTAGGTACAGCATAGGGGAAGTGCCATTACCCGTGGTCTGGTCTCATAAGGATCTAGGGGTGACGGCGAGTCACGATCTTAGGATGATGGTCCATTTCCGGGAGGGCGCAGCTAAAGGGTTTCGAAACCTCTGGCTTTAAAACGGACATTCACTAAGTTAGATACTACCATGTTCACCACAGTATACACATCCTTAATGAGAATTAAGCTTGAGAACTGCGTTCAGGCTGCAAGCCTCTGTTTAAAAGGTGACTCGGATATCCTAGAAGAAGTACAGAAGGCAGCTATCCGTGCGATTTCAGAACTCCGGGGTTCAACATACAAAAAGCAGCTTGAAAAGCTGTACCTCTTTACTCCGCCCTATCGCAGATTAAGGGGAGATCTGATTTTGATGTACAGGATACTGAGAAATGATTTTAGACCTAACTTATTCTCTCATTTTCTTCCCAAAAGATTGAGACACCTCAGAGGACATAGCAAGCGAGTAGAAAAGCCAAGAACGAACAAAATACCCGTGGCATACAGGTTTCCACACCGAGTCATCAATACTTCCCAAGCTGCCAACTTTGGGGAAAGTTTGGTCCATTTTTGAGATACCGCTATAGCAAATTTTAGGTAAATTTCCCCAAAATTGGCAGCTTGGGTTGGAAATTGCTGTTCGAAGCAGTGGTGTCTGCACGTTCAGTTGACTCTTTCAAAAGAGAAGACTGGACGCTCACATATGCATATTAGAAAAGGAATAACAAAGACCGTAGGCCTTCTGTCCTTACTACACAAATCTGAAATCTGAACTCCAAACTTGCGGGGTTTTCAAGCTATACGTTACATATAGGCAAGATGAGATGTCTCCTGTTATGTTGCATTTTAATCTGTACCACTCCCTCCTGTCTTCCATGTTATTACTGGGTCAAGTTTAATATTTGCTCATGTTATGAAGCTTAGCAGTGGACAAGCAAAATCATTTATGGAAGTTTATAAACGTTGACTGAAGCACTCATAAATACACCCAAGCTCCCAAGTTTGGGGAAATTATGGGGTATTTCGGGGAAACTCCCGAAGTCAAATGACCTTCACCAATTTTTGGGGGAGATTTCGGGGAAATCCCTAAAGGTAACTGACCTTGAACAAGGTCAAAGGGGAACTTCGTGGAAATATTGGAGAATTCTCCTAGGTCTGGGGATATTTTGTGGGCTTTGTGCCATTTCTCCAAAGTTGACTATAGCGGCTTCCCTGAAATTTCGTTAAAATGGGCCAAATTCCCCCCTAAATTAGGAGTTCGAACATTTATGAACATATTAATATCTTGTACTGCACTATAATTGATGGACGAAGCAATCAGGTTTACAATAACAAGTCTTAGATTTTGGCGCAAATTCATTCACACATTTGACTGAGTAGAGTTTTGGCATTATAGCTGATGCCAGTTCGTGATGAAAACATTATAAGTAATTCCTAACCTTAACCATCAAATGTAAATCATAACCCTTTTTTCTTCAAACTGCTTTATAACCCTCATTTAGCCCTAGTTAGTAGGTGGACACTTTCAAGGTTAGTCTAGTATCGCTGAAAGGTCGTCCATGAATTATAGATGCAAGACTGCAACGTGAAATCAAGAAGCAAATGTAAAGGGGTCAGATTATTTACATTAGCTCATCACAAAGATGTTGATTACTTGATTAATAGTATGTAAAATTTAGGAAATATGAGCAGTTATCGTACAATAATTTTATACCGTTGTGAAGGCTACTTGTTGATATTTGGTGCTAAGAAGTGATCTAATAGAAAAAGAAATGATATGTAGTTGGTTATTGGCTATCAAAAATATTAATTCTTTCACATGTTCAGCATTCCATGGCTTCTCTAAAGAGTCATTGTGTTTGCTTTATATTGAATATATTTACTTGATAAGTTTTACCTTATTACCTACTGTTTAAGTAAAATGAAGTTTACAACTTTGAATCGAGCATTTATCTTGCAACCCAAATTAAATAACATAATTGCGTCATATCAAGTCTTGCTTAGGATTAAAAAACATGGTTTGTTGTTACCTGTGGCTGGTCAAATTCTTTTGCTAGTTATTAGCTTGTAGTTATGATTATACATGGAAAGCAGTGTACATAAAATACAAATTTGATGCACCCACTTATTTCTATTGGTTTCAATATATCCCACAAATTCCCAGGCGTATTTTCTCCAGAATAGTTAATAAGCATGGGTTTGCAATCTGTAGGTTTAACATGTAAGAAAATAAAACCTATGGGTAATTAGTAGTAATTATTCAGTCTTTGTAATATATTTTTTTTGAGAAATCACTCGATTTTTAAAGCAAAAATGTTCCCCGTAATACTATGTCCCTTCAAGTCCACCATGTTTTTATATTATTACACTTATTATAAATCATGGTAATATGACTTATCATGTTCAAGTTTATGTGCATTGACTGAGCCATATAGTTATGGGTATCGATACTATGCAGCTATCGAATCGAACTTGGAATGTCGGAACTTGAACCTACAATCCATCAGTCAAATTAAAAAGGACTTTAGTCACTAACATACTACTCCACTCCAATATCCACATTAACAGTTTAATAAGGAACACGTAGGTAAACAAATAATGAACCGTCAATCAATGTGATGTACCAGTTATGATTTTAGCTTGCACAAACTGTTTTGCGAAATGTGTTCCGTAAAGTTGTATAATAAATTTAGCAATCTAGTTACATCTAATGTAGTAAAAACGTGTACTACATCTAGTTCTACACTTCACATCACAGAAATTGAAAAACTAAAATCTAAATGATAAAGGAGTGCAATTATCCCCAATAGTGATGTAAAATTGCTATATAACACACGTGTCCATAAAATTAAGACCAACGTGGTACATTGGGCTAATTAAAAATTGATCCAACGATAGGTGCAAGCGACTGGTCAAGAAATAGCTTGCATTTCTAGGGAATGAGATGTACACCGTTGGTGGCTTAATTTAATCTAATCTAATATATAGTGTGATTACGTTCCAGATTCCGTTTAGTCTATAAACTTCCTTCTCACCCTCGCTGCCAGTTGGACTTGTGCACAGGGAGATTTCGTATCTATGTCGAAATCAGACAATAAATCGTAAATAAAAAGCTAATTATTGTTTTTATGTATATTCTTTAAAGTCTGGTTTTATTTTCCAAGTTAGTTCACTTAAGTCTCACTTTTTTGCCGTATTTGAAAATGATTCTTATTTCTTGCTAGGGCATATTGGTTTCTCGTGGCATATTTATTCAAGATAATGCCTAGATTTGCCCAGCTGGTGATAGGGCCAGCTGGTTGTGGGAAATCAACTTATTGTAGTACAATGCAAGCTCATTGTGAAACATTGAGGAGGAAAGTTGATGTGGTCAATTTGGACCCTGCAGCGGAGTTTTTTGAATATACTCCACTAGCGGATATACGAGACCTTATTCATGTAAGTTATTTAATCTGAATTTTTCTAGGATAATTTTAGTTAGATGATGTAATGGAAGACGAGGCTATACGTTTAGGTCCAAACGGTGGACTTATTTTCTGCTTAGAATATCTTCAACAAAATTTGAACTGGTTGGATACTGCACTTGGTGATATAGATGGAGACTATTTATTATTTGATTGTCCTGGTCAAATTGAATTATACTCACACCTACCGATTATGCCACGAATAATTGAATATATGCAAAGAAAATGGGATTTTCGTTTTGTTACAATATTTATTTTGGATGCTAGATTTCTCGTAGATTCATCACATTTTCTAGCTGGTGTATTGTCTGCTCTCTCTGCTATGGTATCCTTATCAACTGCTCATATAAACGTAATGTCTAAACTTGATTTGTTATCTGAACAAAAACAAAAATATGTCATGGCTCGTTATCTAAATCCTGATATGGATTACTTTTTTGATCTGGATCAAGTATTTGATGAAGAAGACGGTGGGGAACATCACGAAAAGGAAGCCCCATTTAATAAACTTACTCATGCACTAGCTGATTTGATTGAGCGTTACAGTGTAGTTCATTTTGTCCCACTAAACAGGGATAAAGAAGATACTATAACAGACTTACTAGTTCAAATTGATCAATGTTTACAGTATGATGAAGAAGTTGATCCTTCAAATCGAGCGTTTGACGATGCTGAACAAGAGTTAGTTAGATTTCAAGGTGAAAATGATGGTGACGAGGATGCTTCACGGAACTCTGGATAAACAGACTATTATCAAAAACTTTGTATATAATCATAAACAATAAATCGTAATTTTTGTAACTCTCCGTTTTTTTCGTAAACCAAAATAATAGTTTTACGTCCTCATACAGATTCTTTTTAGATTATTGAAATAAATTATGAAGTATTCCTAATCCTGACTGGTTCCCTTTCATTATGGTTACTTGAAATGTATGTTCATCCTTGTAGTAATTATGCATCGATCTAATTACGATTTAGATTATGCAGATCAGTCAACTCAGGTTCTCATACACATTTGTTTTTGGAAACTCTTACCCATGGATTAACTGGTTCAATGTTTTGGCTATGTTGTTTGATTAGTATAAATGGTAAACTAGATTTATATACCACAGGTTACCGAAAAAATATAATTATGACTCTTGAGTCATGTTTTTGGGCAGCATTCGGTGCAATACTACCGGATATTGATCATTTTATAGCTTCAGGAAGTACAAGCATTGAAGTACGTGTCGTATTGTCACGTTTAAATGACATTTTTGGTTTCATGTGGCTGCTCATTACGTTTTGTTTTTCTGTTATCGAGCCTTACTGACGGTTATTTATAAGGTACTTAAGTAAATATGGTGCATATTACTAGGTTTTTTTAAAGACTTATATATCTTTACTTTGAAATGCATCGATCTGCGTAGTTAACAGGAATAAGGTATCGCCCTGGTATGGCCGAGAGCGGGGTGGGTTCGCCCTCCCTCTCGAAATACTCTCACACGGCCGCGCGTATATAGCCTCTGCCAGGGAAGTCCTACTCACTGCCTTCTCGTGGCGGGGGTGTTGTTTACGAAAATGAGAGGACGAAAAGCGAATGCCCGGCGCTTTAACCGGATTCCAAATCTATGGTGCACATGGGTACCAGTATCCTGCGGGAACAAATGGGATATGAACCAATTTTCGGCCACCGGCTACCATGAGACTGCATCTCCTTACGATGCTCCACTGCCTTGTGGGTTAGACCTTTAGGTCAAAGGCTCGGGGAGTGGCCCCTTAAGATAACCACCTGCTTCGGTCTGGGCACCCGGGCAGTATCGCAGCCCACACGCAATTAATGAACTGAAATTGTGTGGCGCATATATATTTGGCGCACTCCTGTACCAATATATATGTGTTCAAATAAAAACACAAGTGAAGGTCATACTATTATGAATAGAAATGTAAATACAATGTTTTATTAGAATACATGAGTTGTGACTAGTAGTAAAATCTAAGATGTGCGTTCCGTTTTACGTGAGACTCGTCATGTGGATAACCCACCATCATAATGTTGATTTTCACACTGGGACTCAGACCCAGCACCTCTCGTTTCAATCGTCAACTGGTTACACACTTAGCTACTAAGACAAGACAACTACTTACTTGTTCAATAGAGAGTTGACTTAGTAATTACGGCTATTAAGTCATAGGTTACATCATATCATCAAGTGTCATCTTTCTGCCCATTCGTAGAACAACATGGCCATTCTTTTTTCACTTGTACAGTGATTCAATCACTGGTTTCATGTTCGAACTATGCTAGACATAATTCGATTGAGGCACTCAGATACTATCACTAGCCTCCTCTCCCTATCATTAGATTTATGACTCAATGACCAATAGTTAAATATGTATTTGATTAACAAATTTGAATTTCATTTCTTTGACACTGATTGTCATAGACATATTCTATCGCTACCTTCTTGCACAACATATTAAAAAACGGCAGAATCACTGAGTAACAGACATAAAATGTTTGATTATATCAATCACTATTCTTATATTTCTATAATCAAACTAAAATTATAACAGTTTCTCTTTTAATACTTTCTGTATATACTTCTTTTCAGCTTGCACGTCAACTTCCTGGTAGACCATTTTTACATTGGGCTGGTTTATATCTACTTATTTATACTCTTTTAATTATTGGTTTATTTTTCATATCTTATCCTATATGTTTAAAATTCAATAGATTTTTCACTATATTTTGGTGTTTCATATTTATTCCATTTATAAGTCATATTATACGTGATGCAAATAAACGTGGTTTATGGTTATGGCCTCCACCAGACTTTTATACATTAATGAATCTATCAAATTTTACATATAATATATTATATCCTAGTAACCCGGGAATGGTTCATTTAATCAGAACACTTTTATTGTATTTAGTTGTTTTAATGTTTATCATTTTAGTATTCCGTCAATATGCTTATTCTTTTCATTGGGATATATCCAATTTTGCACCAATAACATCTTATCTTATTGGTAAAAGTAATGAATTTTATATAGACCATACATTTGTTGTATGAAACACATAATCTTTTGGATACAATAAAACTATCTAAATAGTACATTATTGATAAGTGTGATATTTTGTATATATCTATATTCTATTATCTAATTAATATAATGAAATATACTATCTTAGTGATATCTTAGTTTCTTGATTTCATTTTAATGATGATGATTTAACCCTATAGATATTTGTTTGAGGTGTTGTTTTTTGTTAATATTTGTTTAGTTAGTTATTTTCATTGCTCAATCTATATCTTTAGATTCTAAGGAGCCCATACTTTTCTAGATTTATGAAACTTCATTGTTTGGTGACATCATTTAGCGACCGTTGTCTACTGATCAAAGGATACATCGCAGGTATTACTTAAATTAACAGTGTAGATGACACTTTATGTGTGTGCGTGCGAATAAAGTAGTACAAATTCAATTAAAACAATAGTATTTTAATAATGAATTGATCACAAACGTATATCAGCTAGAGAACAATTGATTTCAAGAATCTTTGGCCACTTCGTGTCTTCCTACTGTAGGAGACTCTTCAACAATGTGCAAAAATCTAACCCAAGACCATTAATTATTGTGTATAATGCAGTATTACTCAATTAGTGAGTCGGAACCTAGTTATCACCACCCTAAAATTCAATCGATTTTGAAAGACAGCGTCACGATTGTTCATTATACTCTGTATGTATATAGTTCTTTTCCAGGCCAATTGATTCAACAGATCATGGCTTCTCAAAGGAACTACTGTCGATCCACTTCAGTGTAATTAGTCATAAATGAGAACATAGTCATTCTTTACATCTTGGTAAGATTATTTGTCATCTATTGATAGTTGGTTTGGTGATGTAAGTACAGAATAAAGTATCGTTAAATAAAAATCTTTCTAAGCCCTAATACATCTATATCTTATTCAGATCTCCTCGAAATAACCGAACTATTTTTAATTCAGTGTCTATAAGGTCGAAACTATTTACACATGGATATTTGGTGATGTTAGCACTTTCAAAAGATAAAACAAACGAAGCTTTTACGTTTTGAAAATCTCTGACGCTCTGAAATTTCACATAGTCTTAGAGTCTCATGTGACATTCAAATTAATTGTTGCTATAGTGTATGATAAATATATTTCATTCATTGTCACAACAATCGATTGAAATGTAATTGTTCAGCTGCAATAAATTAAGGAAATATTCGAATTTATACGAATATTCGTCTAGATTAGAACGAATAGTTTGACAGTAATTGAGCGCCGAGTATAGAGAAGTCATTATATGTGAAAATTATATTTGAAATATTCTCAGCGATTGAAATATAACTAATTCCAACGTTTCGTCCAGCTAACTTGTCTGGACTTCTTCAGGGTAATAATCAAAATCAAAATTATTACCCTGAAGAAGTCCAGACAAGTTAGCTGGACGAAACGTTGGAATTAGTTATATTTCAATCGCTGAGAATATTTCAAATATAATTTTCACATATAATATTCGAATTTGTTTCTACTAAAACGATTTAATTCACTTAATTCAATTTGTGTTTGTGACTCCATATACAAATGAATAGTCCAAATATGGAACCAGATCTTATCGAGTTGTTGGTGCAAAAGACTAAGATAAATGTCATTTCCATCATATAAATCAAATCAAAGGGATTTTCAGACTGATAATAAATACCAGTGTAGGGGTTGTGGAGATTATTAAGTTTTTGATTGAGATCATGAACCGACTGGTGTTAGACCACCTTTGGAAACCTGGAAGCACTGGACGGCCGTTTCGTCCTATTGTGGGACTCCCCAGCAGTGCGCACCCACGACCCCGCTCGCGGGACTCGGACCTAGGGCCTTCTGTAATATTAATGATAATAAATAACCAAAAATTCATTAAAGTTGATTTATCATCTATTAAAAGTTGTGAAATAGAAATGGTGGTTATTATCCGAAATTATTGATTCTATGTATATTCTTTCCACTTAAAAATGTATCACTGTCAGACAAATTAGTTACTGGACAGGATACTTTATATAGAATTTACATTCGGCTTCGTTTGCTAACAACTAATGACTTTCCACTATGTAGCGTGAAAATTTAGCAAGAGCGACAAAAGTTCATCTAACTGAATATAAGTTTGGACGATCTCCATGTATATTCAACATGGACAAAGCGTTTGTGCCTTTTTTTAAAAACATCTTATTCCTTGTAAGAGTCAAATGTTAGTAGCAATTGTAAGTAGTGTTAAATATCATTCAGATTTCAAAAAGTACAAATAACCATCATCACTCGATGACAATCAGAAATGCCTTGAATGACGAATGCATATCATTGACTAAGAGATTGATTCATTTTTAGGGGGTCGAAATATGTTTATATAAATAAGTATTTATGCATGTTGTTCAACGGCCCAGAAGAACTTCTCTTTCATTGTTGTCTTCTCTCGTAAGTAGTCAATTTTTGGGGGTTAGCGCACAGCAATTTGTGTATCAGTCTCAGATCTCGGACACCCCTGTCATAACGTAAGTGTTGTACTTTGCTCAGGTACATGACTTACACCTGTTGGTATAAATTCAATTTTGATAATGAAATTGGTCGTTTATGGCTTATTTACCGAAATCAAATTATAAGAAATCATATAGTTTACTTGACGAACTGATCTTAGTTACAGAACTAACGAAAATCCGGAAGCACTGAACAGCTGTTTCCTCTTATTATAAAACTCCTCAGCAGTCCGCATTTACAAACCCATCAGGGACTCTCATACCAAACACCTAACCGTTAGATCTTATTTTATTTATTTATTTGATCACATAAATATTGGTACAAAGGGGTACCGAATACATATGCGCTGCCCAAGTCACTTAATTTTTGCTTGGGCTGTGATAATGCCCGGGTGCCTAGACCAGATCAAGTGGTTTTCTTAGGAGGCCACATCCGGAGCCTTCGACCTAAAGGTATAATCCACAAGGTAGTGGAGCAACGTCAGGAGATACAGTTCTATGGTAGCCAGTGACCGACAATAGGTTCGTACGCCATTTGTTTCCTCAGGATCCTGGAGCTCATGTTCACCATTGGTTTGGAATCATGGTTTTCCAACTCCACTAGATAGGCTCTCCATGTCCACCAACCCGGTTAAAACGACGCACATTCGTTTTTCGTCCTCTCAATTTTGTCAACGACAGTAATGGCATGAGAATGCAGTGAGTAGGACTTCCCTGGTAGAGTCTATATACGCGTGGCCATGTGAGAGCATTTCGAAAGGGCGAACTGACTTTCTCTACTCTCGGCCGTACCAGGGCATTTGGGAGCACTGAGTCGACACTCATTGGTTTACGTCTATGACTTCAGTCAGTTCGCGACATTGCGTAACCATTTTCCACTTGCTAATAATGTGTAACTCCCAAATACCCGTTATAGTTGCAATCTGCCGGTCATGGCTTCCCACTAGAACCGTGGGAAATGCATTTCGTTGCGAGACCTGAAGGTTGTAGGTTCGTCCGCGAGTGGTTCGTGGTTATGCACTGCCGAGGAGTTTCAAACTAGGATGTAGGAACTATCCATTGTTCCTTGGTTTCCAATGATTCTGTAACTAAGGTCAACGCGTAATGTAAACTATAAAATTCAACAATCTTCACAAGCCATCTATCATTTATAATCGAACACTAATCTATTAGGTTTGTATTTGATTATTTAGCACTCACTCTATTGGTTGAATTCAAGGAGTTTGCCATATTGCTTAACGAATCAAGCATTATCTTGTTTAATCATTAGTATTCGTTCAAATAATGGGAGCTCTCAAGTTAGTTTATTGTAAATTAGTTTTATGTATATGTTAATGATCTCTACCGGGAATGTTTTTATCATTTTATCTAGTGATTAAACGAAAGTTTTTATTTATAACTCAATAGTATCATTGAATAGTATCAAATAAAATCGTATTTTCTTTGTATACACTGCATAAAAACGATTTGAATACATTGAAGATACTTGTAATTAAAAAGTTGGTACAGATCCTGTGAGATGAATATTGGTTCAATATTTCTTATCACTTTTGTTTGAGCTATTTAGTTATTTTTGACAATTTTGATATCAATTTATGACAAGATATGCTCGTTACATTCAATTATCGAGAATGGAATGTACTTCAGAACCATATCCTACATGTTGATAGAACTCAGGATTCTTTGAATATTGCAGCAGGCACAATTCCATTCAGTTACTGAGTTCATTGAACATTAATGTGTTGTATAAAGGGACTTATATTGTACACCACATTAACATTTTAATTACTTAAATAAAATCACTCATTTTAATCCCAGAATTGAAGTATACATTATTAATCAAAACGCATTTCCCATAGATACCATTGTCATGCATTTACTAGGAATTATCACAGAAAATAAGATGTAGATATGTTTCTAATGAATTCAGTTACCTTTATCGAATCTATCTATCTATCTATATATATATATATATCCTTTTTTTGAGTAGAGATGGATTGCACGTCAACGTTCAGATCCTTACGTAAAACGTGCTCATCTTGAAAGTTATAGATGTCGTAGCGCATTCAAATTATTACAATTAAATGATAAAATTTCCGGTGGAATTTTTAAACCTGATGATATTGTTGTTGATTGTGGTGCTGCACCAGGATCATGGTGTCAAGTAGCTTCATCTTTAACCAATTGTAATAATAATTTCAAAGCTTCAAATAATCAAAACAAAGGTTTAGTAATTGGTCTTGATTTGTTAAACTTCGCACCATTACCTGGTGTTATTACATATTGTGGTGTTGATTTAAATAATTGGTCTGAATGTATAAATTTAATTAATCAATCAATTTCCAATCATTTTAACAATAATGATAATGGCCGTAAACCGTTACAATCCGAGAGACAGAAATCACTGCCGGGTGTTGATATTGTCCTCAGTGACATAGCTCCAAATGTGTCAGGAATGCGTGAAATCGATATACCAGCTATGATGACATTAGCGTATAATATTTTACGAGTAAGTTAGTTTATCAGAATGTAATTTATTATCGTTGTGTTATGTAATAATTTATTTATTTTATTTAAAAATATAAAATTTAGTACATCCAGAAACTAAGAATAGAATATGCTATATAAATTAAAAACACATAACATCGTGAAGAAATGAGGGGTGGGATCAGGGTTCGGTCTAGAAATGAAGAATAGCATCGGCAATTAATGATGTGTGCTAGCCCGTGGGGTGACATTTATAGAACATGTCAACCCCACTGGTGCCAGTGTGTCAAGATGGCAACACTAATTGAATGATAATCAAAGTGCTCGAACGTACATACACAAGCCTCAGTATCAGTAATATAGTTTCGTCACCAATGCTCCGGAGAAAGCGGTCATCGATTGTAAAGTCACAGAACAAACTCAACATCAAGGGACTAGATTTCACTATCATACGTTAAAAATCTCTCTCACCAACGCGTTGTAAACTCAACATTTTATAACCAGACTAACATCAAGATGGTACCAATGATTAAGATGGGTATTTTCGGCTTTCATTTATACATAAAGGGATTTCGCATATCACGTCACTGTCAGCGTCCACACAACTAGTATGAACCTAAGGTTATGTGTGTATAACGATTTAGAATAGGGAAGTTGAGTTGTTTTTAGTCCATAACTGACATCGAGTTTGAACTTTGAGACAATCTTAGTGTATTGTTGTTTGACTAATGACCCATTCATTATTACAATCTGAATAACAGGCTATGCTGATTGTATAACTTGTTGCTTGAAACTGCATTACACCCAGTAGTTTTATTTCTGTTATTGAAGTGATGAAACAACTATTCTCGCCTGCAATGGTAAACATGGATAAATCAGTTTAAATGTCTAATATTACTGTATAAAATAAGGTGGTGAGCTAGCATATAATGGATCTTTCCTTAGGTTTTGATATAGTATAAATGTTACTCCAGTAGTACAGAAAAAGTTCAATTCCCTACTAGTTGTTTTGTATGTCGTTCATTAACTTAGTGCATCTCAACTAACTGAAATGGTCCGGTTTTTTCTACGAATGTCCATTAATAACTACTTACAGACTGAAGATTATACGTAGTTGTAAACTTTTTATGATTCCCCAGAATGAAAAACACGTCACTTATTTGATAGTTTAGTGTTTACTACTGTCCCTACTGGTTTGGAAATTGATTCGTCTATTGTACTTAAATGTGTCGTAATTTGTAATTGCAAAAAAACTGTCACTAAGATACATATTTAAGATATCCAAAAAAGATGTTGATCTCTTGTTCGGAAACTTTTATTTCTAGGTAGCAATCAGTGTTTCAAAAGAAGGGGCCAGTTTCGTGATTAAATTATTTGAAAGTGCGGAAGCTGAAGAATTTAAACAAACAGTTTCACAGTTTTATACATTAAACTCAAAGTGTTCTTCATTTACGCGTTTTATTAAACCGGAAGCTAGTCGAAAAGAGTCATCAGAAATCTATTTAGTTGCTAGAGGTTTTCAACTTCCTCAAAGTAAACAGGACAGTTAAATCCTACTTTCCATCGTATATACATATTTACCATTTTAGCATTGTACATTTGAAATACAGTAAATAATTGCTTTTATCTCATACAGCTTTATCATTGTATAGATCTAAAAAGAATGTAAATACCAAGATTTGCCGAATGAAACAAATTCTTTCTATTCTAAAGCTTTGCATTAACCGTAAACAGATTAAAATTCCATTGAGTAATACCGTTTATAATAAACTAACGTTCGGCAGCCTTTAGTTATTGATGTTAAACTGAATACCAAAAATGGAACCAAGAATTTACCTAGGACACAAATACGTGATTAAGTATATTTAAAATAGGCACATTCATGTGTCAAAGAAATTAGTGATATAAAGCAGAGAAGATGAGAGTATAATTATCAATAATTACGAATGATTTACCTCCATCTCAATTCTGACAGCTGAACCCAAAAAATCATACTTATCTTTCGGCCTAATTCTAATTGGCTCAATGTGGACACCACTGGCTAAGACTTGGTTTCATTTTCTAAGAAATGACACGATATCGATTGGAGATTTGGCTTTGTTTTTTTTAAGGGAAAATTATATATAATTGTGAATGAGTGTATATATCTTTTCGGTTCAATTGTCGTCAATAAATCCTTCTTTACATTCAGGTAGCTAGTCTAGGCTTTCAAATAGGAGGTTTTGTTATCATCATCAAACGTGAACGACTGCACAATACATAATCTTAATGAAAGTAGTAAATGACTAGAGAATTAATTAACATGGCTTATCACACTTTCCTTCCGTATAAATAGCCTAGGCTAGAATGATTTGATAGCAGTCGCCTTTAAAAAACGAAGCAAAATTAGCGTTAGTTGTTAACTCATTGTCTTGAATACTCTACAGATATCTACTACTCATCCAGAGCCTAGCAATTAAACTTTTAAATAACTTACAGTATTTTAGGCATACTTTTTTAGAAACATGTTGATACACATTAATTTGTTTCCGGTAGCAAATATATTGATTAAGCCCTGAATATAACGAATTCATTTTGTTTTGGCGATAGAAGTTTCTCTACTTCATATTTTAATTAATGCTGCCACATGGTCTAAGTAATTCTACTGAATACTTTGTTCGATTGTTAGATCAATCAGCATAAATCGTCTAACCGTCTTCACATTTTAACAGCGTATAGAAAATAATATCTTTTGGCCAAATAAGGATTTCTTCTAGCCATTAGCTAGGCATCATCTTTATACTGCTCAATGTGATATAAACTACTTCGAGTAATAGCCAATTCGTAGTGTTTAGTGAAATATATTCTTCATGATCTTTTTAATTCACTTGGCCATGTAATGATTAATTTAAAATATTTAAGTTTTGTATTACAGTTATTCTTGATTGCGAAAGATTGTTATATTCTGATACGAAACTGGATCTATACGAACTTGATAGTTTGGACAATTGATATACAACAATTCAACAACAATCCACCAAGCGATGGAAGAAGCTTGATATTAAGGAAGTGTAATTTGTAGTGAAACAACTGTGTATACATAGTAATAAGCATGATTTTGGGTCAAAATAGGATGAGAAAACTGAAAGTGGGAATAACCAGTCGACTGACAGTAGGTGTCATTACAAAAATGAGTTCGAATACATGTTATTCCGGTTATCTGCACACGTAATAACAACCACTTTTTAAGAACTAGGAAACCTGGTCTTACTAGTGGTTTAAGGTTGAGAAACAGTAAAAAATACCCACGCTGAGTGATAATTGAAAATACGAGGAAAATATTGTATATGTTCGACCATTTGCAACATCATATGACAATAGGTATCCAAAGAAATGCATGGATAAGTATGCGGAGACACAGAACGAACCCTTGAAGTGCGATATAACTAAAATACAGCTTATTAACTATGGCCTGACTCCGAAAGGGTTAAAATTATTGCATTAATCAAACGCAGAATAAATGATGCACTGAAGGTTATTCATTCAGCGAGAAGACTTATTACCTTGTATAAGAAGAACTCCGTTAAAAGACAAAAATCGACAAGTTTCCTTTCCTTACTATTTCCTACCACATCAATTTACAAGTGTACGTTGGAGCACATACACTGAAAAAGAATAGTGTATTCCAGTATCTTCAAACACGTTCCAAAGAGCCTGAGACGACAGTCAAAAAATATCCGACAGCAGATGTCATTAGATACTTAAACCAAACTTATATGCTCAGGAAGAAACAGATGTCAGTATATCACTCCCATAATAATTTTGACTAGATCCTCATCAGTTATTATTATTGCTATTAATAGTATTATTTGTGTTATTCACAGTATTTATTATTTCGTCTTTCTAGGAGTACTAGTACTTTGAGATACATGTCGCTAGTTTCAAATTATTCTACCTCTAGTTCACAAACCTTGAGTTCGAATTCTACAAAATTGACAGAATTTTATAAATTAGGCCATCACAAATAGCTAAATTACTATTTGGTCAATTATTTACTTTATATAAATGTTCATTCAAACAAGCTACATAATTGTGATTCACTGAATTAGTATAAACATGAAGATTGATAACTAGATATAAATGGTGACACCATGTTTTTTTAAAATTGAATTTCGATCATGATCCCCAATTAGTACCGTAAAGAACATTTAGGAATAGCAATAAAAATTCACTATTTCAACATTTGTAAATTCAAGTAGATTGTTGGGTTGTCTCTGATTAGTTTCTTAAGATCCAAAAGTTATTAATTATTGGCTTTATTCAGTATTATAATCTTGGTACAATATAGAATTCTCAGTACAAAGTATCTCAACAAGTTTCCATTTCTTATTTCTTGATCGACCCTTACGATAAAAATTGGGTGGTTGCTAGTTAGATATTAGCAGTTAAGGAATTGACATCTGATTAGTGTATATTTTTTGTAACTTGTACAGCGAAATGTCGTGAACTTTTCATAAACGCACCTGAATAGGTTATGCGATTAATAGACATAATGATGTGTTAAAACAAACAAGCAAAAATATAATTTGTTGAAATATCCAGATGGCAAGAACAGGTAGCCCAAACATTTAAGAAGGCCGCCTGACAACATAACACTATAAATCTATCACAATTGATTGATCACTGGGTTTTGATCAGTGTCATGTGTGTCAAGTCCTTCTTAGTCCAGATCAAATACTATCGACCAAGTTGTAATGTGGCCACTAGTCTAAGTGACTCGACACTGCGTGCACTATGTTCAGACTAGATGGTGATTGGAGGTAGTCAACAGGAAACCCTGGACCCGGGTTTCGTACTACTTGGCACTCGTCAGCAAGGTGTACCTGTGATCTTGAGGGAACTGATGCTCCCTGACAGACTCGATCCTGTGACACGCAGCTTCACAATCAGAGACGTTACCACTGGGCTATCCGGTCCGCGACCGACCTCCTGTAGAATTGAGATGTAATCACAATTGATTGATCATTGGGTGGTGATCAATGCCATGTGTGTCAAGTCCTTCGTAGTACAGATCGACTGCTATCGACCAAGTTCCAATATGGCTACTATAAATCTATTTTCTTTTTAAATCATTTACTTTTAACAATATAATAAAAGCCAATTGAGTTTAGTTATTTTCCCCTTAAAAAAAAATCTTGTATACTCAGAAAACAATTAAGTGTAAGTCAGTTTTATTTTTAACAAAAAAGTTTTATCAAATAAAGTACAATTCTAATGCAAAATAAATTTTCTAAAATTAAATTAACTTTGTAAAGTTCCCCCCCTTCAATATACACACGCACACACACACAAAACATGTGGACATTTTTCATTAAAAAAAACAAACAAACAAAAACTCAATATCACATAATAAATATAACCACATTGTTTATGTTGGCTTTATATTCACAGAATAGTGTTACATTTGAAGGTAATAAGGAAAAAAAAAGTAATAATTGAAGTATGAAGTGTGTTATAGATTCCCACCACCTTGATTATGAACTTCTTGCATATGTTTTTCAAAGCTAAAATAGGCATGGAAAACAACAACATATAAAAATAAACAATTAAATATAGAGAATTATCTCTACCTTTATATATATATATATATGTAGAGAGAGAGAGAGTTATTTTACAGAACAACTATACGAAGAATATTCTTTTTTTAATGAGGTTTTGTTCTCTGAACTAGATGGTTTAGTCGTGGAGCTTTCATCGTCTTTCAGAAGAATGATGACAGCTTCATGATTAAACCATCCAGTTCAAAGAACAATACTTCATCAAAATCATCCACCTAAGCTACAAATCTTCTCCACTATCTCAAAAATATTCTTCTACTTCAGTTAGCTCAGATAAACGAGAAAAAACCCGACAACAATTGAATAGTAAACTGTAAGCATTTTTCATAAACTCTTTAACAAAATTAAGGGTTTTACAGGAATGTGGTGTTAGCAGTTTAGTGTTACTTACTATCGAGGGGTTTGTCAGATTCGTTTGAGTAAAGGACCCCAGGTCAGTGAAAGTTAGAAAACTGTCTTAGCTTCTGTAAACCTCTATCGTTCTACAGTAAATAATAACAAGTCTAGGCTGAAAACCTGAAGGTGAATAAATATAATGTTTCGAATTATTTGAATTATAGTACGAAATAAGAGTCCCAGAAATAACGCGATTGAATTAAGAAGACACAGGCACAAACGAATGTATTGTATTTGGAATTCGAAATCGAGCATTCAACAAGTACAAAGGTATCATTAGTTCATTCAAACACCACAATAAACCACCATAAAAACGGTCCATAATTAGTACAGACAGGGACAAAATAACCGAACGGATAAAAATAATAAAATGGTCAGCGAAATATGGGTAAGATATTCTGCAATGAAATACTATTTACTCATAAGTAATATTTATTTATTTCAACACAGATAATGGTACAAGGGGGCACCAAAAAGATATGCGCTACCCAAGTCACTTGATTTGTGCGTGGGATGTGATACTGCCCGGGTGCCCAAACCGAAGCAATTGGTTTTCTTAGAAGGCCACACCCGGAGCCTTAGACCTGAAGGTATGATCCACAAGGCAATGAAGCATCATTAGGAGATGAAGTCCCATGGTAGCCAGTGACCAACGACTGGTTCATACGCCATTTGTTCATTCAGGATACTGGAGCCAATCTGCACCATTGGTTTGGAATTAGGGTTTACCAACTCCCCTAGATGGATTCTCCATGTCCACCAACCCGGTTAAAGCACCGGACATTCGCTTTTCGTCCTCTCAATTTCGTAAACAACAGTAATGCCACGAGAATGCAGTGAGTAGGACTTCGTTGGCATAGTCTATATACGCGTGGCCATGTGAGAGTATTTCGAGAGGGAGAGTCGATTCTCCCCACTCTCGGCCGTACCAGGGCATTTGGGGGCCATAAGTAATATAGTTTGAAACAATATAATTACAATCTGACCACGTCCAAATTGATGTGCCCATTTACTTGCATCAAGAACGGTCAAGTGACTTATATTTTTATTTTGCCTCTTTAATGTGTATCTACCGATTTAGCTACTAATTTGTAGAAGGATATATGAGGTGTGCTATTGGGTAATTTAACCAGCGGATGAGTGAACTTCTCCCTGTATTGTTCGTAAACGGTCAAAGACAATACGTAGTTCCGAGTTAACACACTTGGTCAACAATGGTCAAGTGGTAAATAGAAACTAATCATTCAGAGTGATCTGTATATCTTTGCAGTTTCCCAACACGGTTTGAACTCGTCTACTACATGTAGTAGAGGTTATAGGCATTTGCGTCTACAATCCTAGTCTGTTCACATATGAATAGACATATAACTGTATAATTAGAGTAGAGCCTAATGAATATCTTATTGATGACGATTTTTCTACAAGATCTGAAGATCAGGAGTTCGAGAGTACATGCACTATTAATAAGTAATAAACTTGTTGAAAACAGATATTTGGTGCCTAAGGGTTTATTTACAGCAGTCTTAAGTGTTACTTAATATGAGCATACAGAATAAACACCAGTATAAAGGATATGGCACTCCGGTTTGATAACTTATTAAGAAATACTTACCGAGAATGACAATTAGCTTCAGTTTCTAAAGCACTATGCTGGAAATGAGCTGCTTTATACAGTGCAATAAATATGAATAAATGTAAAAATATTGCATACAAAAATACACCCAAGCGAAGTCTACGATCGGAACTAACAAAACGTCCCTATTTGAAAAACAACAACAAAAAAGGAATAACAGAAACATTGTAAAACATGTACTGTTCAAATAGTGCCTAATATATATATATACATCACATTAAAAAAACACATTTATTCATTCGTACGTTGTATTTATCACAGGCTGATCTCAGTTGAAATGCCACAGAAAAATGGATATCGCTGAATAATATTCACTGTGGACCTGAAAGTCATGGTTTCAATCCTTGACAAGTAAGCACTGCTAGAGTCCTTCTACTACGATAAAACAACTACTATCCAGTGAATTTTTTTCAATGATTGTCTACAAACTAAGACCAGGTCCATAATGTAAACTATAAAAGAAAGACAAAATAAAACCAACATACCAAATGTAACATCAGTTTTTCATATGGTTGTAACTTTTTATACACTCGTTGTTTCTCATATCGACTAAATTGATTGAAAGGATTTAACTGAGCTTCATAAACATGTGAATATTTAATGATAGTTGCATCATTTGACTCATGATTTTGACAAGGTGATGGTGACGATGATGTTGTCACCGATGATGAAGAATGCTGATTAGATAAATTATTTTGTCGATTTTGTATTACAGGACTACCATATGAGTGTAAAAAACGTATTTTCTCGTACAATTTAACGTTATCAGCTCGTACTGATTCAACTTCACGTTGAAGTGATACCAACTGTTGGCGTAAATTTATTTCATTCTGTTAAAGAAATTAATTAAAATAAAATTTGTATTACGTAATTGGAAGATATTCAATGCTTTATTTTAATCTGTTGACAACATAGTGAAGTAATTGCATGTTTAGTACACGAATAATATAGTGCCTTAAAGTTGTGCAATTACATCTGTATGGAGGAACCTTTTGTAATTGACCCAAATGAAATAAAAGCAGTTCGAAATTCATTTCTTTATGATATGATGCTTTGGAATAAATGAAAAAATGGTTGAAACGGGTTAGTTTCTAATTTGCCACATAATAATTGATTTCATTGATTGCTAAGATTATGTAACTAGTGGGGCTATGAGTGCTAATAGAAATGTCTTTAGTCTTTTTTTTGTTGTTGTAAGTAGTAGGAAGAATATAAATTAAAAACAAAATTCTAATTGAATATTTATGACTGAGATTGTTAGTTATGTCCATAACTAACTAATCAAATTGTTGCTTAAATGCTCATCACGTCAATCTGGTTTGTAGTGACTGTAGACTATCCCTGTTACATGTAACCTGCCAATTGAACGATATTATTATCCTGTTATCTTAGTGTGACTCAATTTTTATTCACTTCGATAAGACACACAATACTGGTTGGTATAAACACATAAAGTTTAAAGCCAAGTTGTTCTTGTTCTGACTATAGTTTTCACATTGTTAGCGGGACATAGACTAGATTAAAGCATGCTCAATGCATGATTGTTTTGGTGCACGCTGATTGGCTGATTCTTATCCAATCAGCACTAGTCGATAGTCGGAGAATATTCTGGAATCTTCTTATGTATAAACTATAAATATACCGACGTTTTCTCCTATTGTGCTTCCTACTGGCTTCTGACTTGCTATTTGGAATATAATCTTTTTCCTGTTCAACCGTGTTTTGATTTGGGGACTTGTCGAGTGAATCGGTGTCCGAGAATACTAAGCAATAGGAATAGCTGGGTCATAACCGTAAGAAACAGAGTTATAACAGTGGCGACGGGGAAAAACTAAAGAAAAATGGCGATTTCTTTAGAACAGTTGCGGTTAATATTACAGCACCAGCAGAAGTTGTTAGCCTTGCAACAACAACTATTGAGCACACTTTTCACTCGACCAGAAAATAAGAAATCTGTTTATGATGCAGTAACAGACATTTCAGAAGCATATCTAGTGGAGGGTTCAAATCCCTTTATACCTGAATCAGAACGTAATATTTGTAACGTTTCCGGCTCACAGCAAGAAAATCCTGTGCTGAATGCTCATAAAGTTGTGGCAATACGAGGTTATCAAGAGTCAGACCCTGTAGATGAAGCCCGGAGTCCAGAATTGAATGAAGCACTACTGGTCCTGTCTAGCTCTGAAAATAACTTTCAGCTAGAACAAATTTATGGTCCACGTGATATTAACCAAGAAGGCTATGGGGACTCGTATTCAGAAAATAACTGCAGTGACACAACGAACCCAATTATACCAAATGTTACTCAAAATCATTGTGAGACAGAAACTTATATTGAATCAGCTTATCCGATTTCTAATGACAATGTATCAGACATGGGTTCTCAGAACAATGCATGTTATTTTGATGAAATTTCTCATAAAAATCAGGAAAATATATCAGCTGAGTCAAATTATGGTCAAAAGTCTAATTTAATTTTGTTAGATGTTGATTTCCGTAATGATCCATTATCCACTGATGAAATTCCTAATGGGTTTGAAAGTAATGCTTCAGAAGAATTAAACTTTGACCTCAAATCAAAGGTCGTTCATTATCATCTAGTCGTTTCTAGTGGATCCGACATACAATGCGAGAAACGTCGTTTAAATAAAGTCCTATTATTTGTAACTTGGAGATATAAGGATCCGACATTGTTTCGCGGAGGAGGAGAATGTTGGAGAATTAAAAGTTATGCATACTTTTTTTTAAGAAAAATCAAAACGCCGGGAACAGACACGTCAGTCTCTGTGCAAGAAAAAAGTGATAATACTTTATTGCTTAGACGATGGACTAATCGAGAGCACAAGCCAGTCACTCAGTTGCAGTTGGACCCTAGCACCAGATCCTACGAATCTGCTCAGAGGGGAGGTGTTAGCGGGACATAGACTAGATTAAAGCATGCTCAATGCATGATTGTTTTGGTGCACGCTGATTGGCTGATTCTTATCCAATCAGCACTAGTCGATAGTCGGAGAATATTCTGGAATCTTCTTATGTATAAACTATAAATATACCGACGTTTTCTCCTATTGTGCTTCCTACTGGCTTCTGACTTGCTATTTGGAATATAATCTTTTTCCTGTTCAACCGTGTTTTGATTTGGGGACTTGTCGAGTGAATCGGTGTTCGAGAATACTAAGCAATAGGAATAGCTGGGTCATAACCGTAAGAAACAGAGTTATAACACACATACGCTGAGATCGCCAGTATGGCGTTTACAATTCCAGTAGAATATTTGTAGGACAAATTAAATCCAACAGAGATTCTTCCGTTACGATTAGTTATTATTAAATATAAATTCCACTCCTTTTCTTCTATCTTATGGTCAAAATATCATGCAATTCAGGTTAATTGAAGAGTAAGTTAGATTGAAAATAACAAATTTCAAGTTCATGAAAGAATTATAATTATGCTACTTCAATTACAAGCAACGTAGAATCTTGGAAATATATGCATCGATTCAAGTTACTACATTATATTAGCACTGCCAGATAAAATTATCAAAACAAACGTTAGAGTAGTGGAAGTGGATAGGACATACATTAAAGAAATCACCAAACGGTATCACGAGCCAAGCGCTAACTAGGAGTCCTTAAGGTAAACAGAAAAGAGGAAGGCCAAAAAAACACTATGCCGAGAATTGGAAACAGACATCAAAAGGATGAATAGTAACTGGAAAGGATTATCCAGGACAGAGTTGGATGGAGAATGTTAATAAGCGGCCTATGCTCCTCCATGAGGGATGACAGGCGTAATATATTATCGATTATGTATAGGTGTACACTAGTGAGGAGCCCCGAACTAGGACAAAAGGATTTTTATAGTACTTTCTGACTTTTAATCTTCGATGACACTGATGTCAATCCTTTTCATATCTTCTACACTATCACTGATACTACAGTATTATACATCATGAAAATCTCATCGCGATATGGTGACGTAATGCAGAAAATTGTGCCAAGTTCTAACTTGCTTATTGACTGACTGATTGATTAAGTTCATGACATATTAACATTTTCAGATGTTTTATTTAATTTAAAATGTATGTGTGCATTAGGGTAATTAAAAATCAACCAACCAAGAGGATATTAATGAAAAATATCTAACAACAATAGAGAAGAAAAGTATATGAAATTGAATTATTACAAATCTCAATAATGGAAAAATAGGAAAGCATAGTGAAAGAAGAAATTAATACAATGATATACACTAGATAAAGAACATACGGTTGCTCCGTATGTAAATTTTTCTTGGTTCAAAATGATTAATTTCATTTAGGGTCTGATATGTGGGCGAGAATGATAATGATTGGCTGTCTGCTTAGTCAGACGTGTAGATAGTCTGACAGGTGTCAGATGAGTTATATATTCCCCTATGCTTATAATTATTATCGACTGTTTATTGTTGTTGGATTGTGTCGGGTTTTGGTGTGGAAATATATTTACGTTGTGGTCAGGCTAATCATGTATTCTTGATCTGACTTTTGTTGAAGTCCTGTAGAATAGACACTGGGAGGGAATCTAGTGTAGATATTCGTCTAGGGTAAATTAACCTCCCATTCGAGTAAACGTGGAAACCTAACCATTATAACCGTTAGACGAAGTAAAACCGAGCGTTATAACAATTGGCGACGGGGTGAGAAACAAAGAACCAAGGATACAAAACCACAAGTTATAACACGGTCAATATTATTACTTAGTGATTTTCAACATCTTCAGGACTCTAGCTACAAAAACGCACTCTTTTTGTATAATTCATTCAAACTTTATATTATGTTCATTATATGATAGTGTACTATAGAATAACTTCTATTGTAAAACAAACTAACATAAAAGAGTAAATCACCTGGGAAAAAAAATTGACTGTTTTCATTGACTAACCTGTTCTAATTCTTCAGCTCGTGTTCGAAATCGATCACGTTGATTTTGTACAATGTTTAATAATGACTGATTGTCTACAAATGCATGTGTATATTTGCAATTAATTGGAACAATAAAAAAATCAAACTAACACGGGTTACATATAAATGACAAAGTTTAATAAACGTCAATGACACTTCGAAAGAAACCATAAACACTACTATCGTTAAGATATATGGCCAGATTTTACACGTACATATTTTATGTAAAATCAAATTCAATTAGTCATAAACCGCGCAGAGAGCCTGGTACATTTGTGTACTGACTGGATTTGTTATACCACATTAATACAGTGAATTGAAACGAACATCATAAATAGCAAAGGATTCTAAATTAATGTAATAGCCATGATAAGCCCCCAAATGCCCTGGTACGGCTGAGAGTGGAGAAAGTCAGTTCGCCCTTTCGAAATGCTCCCACATGGCCACGCGTATATAGTCTCTGTCAGGTAAGTCCTACTCGCTGCTTTCTCGTGGCATTAATGTTGTTTACGAAATTGAGAGGACGAAAAGCGAATGTCGGGCGCTTTAACCGGGTTGGTGGACATGGAGAGTCCACCTAGGAGAGTTGGAAAACCCTAATTCCAAACCAATGGTGCACATGGGCTCCAGTATCCTGAATGGACAAATGGCGTATGAACCGATCGTTGGTCACCGGCTACCATGGAACTGCATCTGCTTACGTTACCCCACTGCCTTGTGGATCATACCTTCAGGTCGAAGGCTCCGGGTGTGACCCCCTAAGAAAATCGATTGCTTCGGTTTGGGCACCCGGTCATTATCACAGCCTTCACACAAATCAAATGGGATTTGCGTAGCGCATATATATCTGGTGCCCCCTTGTACCAATATCTATGTGTCCAAATAATAATAAAGCCATGATAATGAGGAGTGAACATTGGGAATTTAGTTCGAAAAGACAATGAAAAGGGACATATTAAAAAATTTAAGGTAAAGCAAAAAAGAATGATGGATTTGCGTTATTGTGACTGATTCTGAATAACGTCAACCTAATATTTTTTTACAAATCCCACTCTTCAATTTAAATGGACTCGATTTAAAAAGAATAAAGACTAAAGATGAACATGAGACTATCAGGTTCTAAGTTAGCCATTAATCTTTATATCGAAATTGAAAGTAATAAAACTGACAAACAGTAATTATTAAGAACAGTTATCGCAAGTACTTTAATTTAATGTTGTAGTCTAATGATTTGTATATTTAACTGTTAAGTGGATTAAGGAACCAAGAACTAAATCTCGACGCTCTTTACAATCTACCACATGGAGTCATATATGTAACTGGTAAATTAAGGTGTTTTAAAAAAAAATCAACTGTTCGAAATGAACTTTAAACATAATCACTTTGATGATTGTTGTCTATAAACATTATGAAAATAATAAACGAGAATAAGCTGAGTGTAGTTTTTGAAGTCAAATGTAAATAATTTAAACTCCTAGCCAATAATGGAAAACGTTTTAATTTTGTCATTGAGAAAAGAATCATATCAAAAAGTGTGTAGTGAATGATCAAAAAGAAAACGTACATTAACTAATGTACAATAAAGACGCCTAGTTTTAGTTGTACAGTATAATATACCGTCACATTTTTGGTATAGTTAAATGTGATGGTCTACAATGTGTAATGAACTGAGAGCGAGAAAATAATGTATTAAATGCGCTATTGAAGGAGCAACACGTTAAGCAAGATATGTTAATAACACTGAAACAATATGCACCATATGTTATAAAGGTCATCAATAAGCACGTATTTAGACATTTGAATGGCGATGATAATGATATAACAGGACTAAACACTCCAAGACTAAATAAACTAATCGATAAAACCTTATCATCTAACCAAGTTAGCTTTACTATACAAAGCAAATTATTCATTATTGTAATCAAAAATCTCTGAATGTATTAACAATTAAAGAAAAAGCAGTGAATACATTAGATTCTATGGACATATTGATCAGTTTAGTACTGCTGTTATAAGTGTGTGCGAAGTTGTTATTTAACAGTTACCTACATCGTAGAACAATACTTTCGAAACATCCGGAAAGTTCTCTTGGAACGCTAAACTTGTAGCGATCTTGGTGACCCGTGAACGCTAAAACAGTGCTCAAGGAACAACTGTTTAAACTTAATTTCATGTGACCATTTTGTCAGTAGTTCTTGATATATTAGCTCCATATTTTAAAGGCCTTACTACCAGCAACAGAAATCCATAGGTTTAGGTGGGGTGTATTATTTTTAAGGTCAGCATTTTCTAAACACTGCAATTATGGGAAGGCAGCATCGTTGTGAATGTTAGCTGTCTGAAGAAAACACGTCACTTTCACCACACCTCAGTACCACCGGCAGTGTGACTTCGCCTTCAAACCCCAATTTGCTTCCTTCAGTTTAACCATTCTCTAACCGACCTGCTCTGAATGATAGTACCTAAAAGAACAAGTGTTCAAGTCAATATCACTCGGCTGTGTTATCGCAATAAGCAATCTTAGCCATTACGTCACGTTAGCAGCTATGTTTGGGAAGAATATTGCAATAAATGAGTGCTTGATAGAACGAAAGATAAATATTTTTAGTACTACCTGCTCGTGACTTGTGGTTAATACACTACAACGTTAGATAAATGATCCAAAATACTTCGCAAAACAATTAAAATGTGAAAAACCACTTAATTATTTTTAAATTTACCGAAGTTAGTAAACCCTTAAAAACATACTTATATGTTTAGAGAGAAACAGTCATTAAATATGTCGGTTCAGATTTGCGCAAAATAAAAAACAAATCTCCCATCATCAATCCCTAGATCCTATGAGCAAACTGAAATCCAACTTCACAAAACACAATGCTTCAATGGCTGGTACTCCAAGTGACACTAAATTACTCCATAAATATATCAGCTCATTTTCCGACTGTATCAACACTGATAGTAGAACTAAATAAACCCTCTCATGTTTACTCGTGTTCTCAATCGTTGGTATATTAAAGAGAGAATAACTATTTAACTTAAACGCTTAAAAAGATTGATAGCCTTTCACATAGTATGT